ACGCGGAGGACTGGGTCGTCGGCCGGCCGAACCGCGTCGTGCCCCGGGACGGCCGGAGCGACCGCCGCGACGCGCGGGGCGCCGTCGCCGACGACGACGCCGCGACGACGCGCGGCGAGCCGATCCCGAAGCGGGAGCCGCTCGCCGCGCCCCAGTCGCGGCTCATCCCCGAGCCGCCGACGCCGCGCGCGCCGCCGGTCCTCGTCGCGCGCGCCGAGGACGACGACGACGCGAACTAAACTTGCTCCAGGACGTCCGTTTCAAACCAACCCCGACGACGACGGCGCCAATTACAGAACGTTAAAACAACCCCGCCGCGCGGCCTCCACGGCCGCGCGGGCGAAAAAAAATGACACCTCTCACGCGACGACGCGCAGCTTGTGCTTGTCCCAGATCTTGCCGCCGCCGGGCGTCGCGTCCTTGGCCGCGCGGTACCACTTGATGGACTCGACGGGGTCCTTGGGCACGCCGTCGCCGCGCGCGAGCGCGACGCTCCAGTTCGTCGCGCCGCGGCCGTCGCCGGCCTCCGCGGACCGGCGGAACCAGTCGGCGGCGAGTTCGAGGCTCTTCGGCGCGCCGCGCTCGCCGCGCTGGTGCAGGATGCCGAGGTCGCACATGGCGACGGCGTCGCCGCCCGCCGCGAGCGACGCGAGGCGCTCCAGCGACGCGGCGCCGTCGGGCTGCATCTCCGCCCAGGCCTTGGCGCCCGCCGCGGCCAGCGCCGCGGCCGACGGCTTGCCGCCGCGCAGCTCCTCCTCGGTCTCGGCCAGCTTCGACATCGCGCCGCGGACAGAGGCCGACGCCGGGAGAGCGCTTTTGTGCGCGCTTCAAGTTCGCTTGATTAATAACGGCAAGTCCACATCAACGTTTGAGAGTAGTTTCCTTGAGGCACGGAGCTGCAGTGCTTGAGCAGTGGTGGTAGCTCTACAAGCCAATTAAAGCGGCCGACGACCTCTTCGGCGCAGCTCGGCGTCAGGGTCCGCCGTCTTCGCGGCCATGTCGGCGCTCCGGCGGAGCTCGAGCTCGAGCCCGTCGCCGGCGCAGAAGGCCAAGTACGACGCGGCGATGAACGAGTTCGAGCGCGCCATGGAGAAGATGAGCAAGTCCATGCGCAAGTCCGCCGTGCAGTCCATCCGCGAGGACGAGCGCATGCGCCAGTCGGCGCGCGAGATGCTCATCCACGTCGCGCGCGCGCGCGTCGCCGCGCACGGCGCGGCGTCGATCTCGCTCGCGCGGACGGACCAGGAGGCCGCGACGGCGACGACGACGGCGCGGCGCAAGTCGCTCCAGGACATCTCGCTCGTGTCCGGCGCGGCGGCCAAGGTCGCGCTGGACCGGTCCGTGGAGCGCATGCGCCGCGACAAGCACGCCAACGAGACGTCGGCGGAGCGCGCCGCGCGCGAGGCCGCGGAGGCCGCGGAGCGGAAGGACCAGCAGCCGGTGTTCGAGCACCTCGAGGCGTGCACGGAGCGCGTGCTTAGGGCGGAGCTGGCCTTGGCGCGGCGCATCGCCCAGGGCAAGTCGGACCTCCACGAGTCGTCGCGGCGCCACCTGCGGAGCCTCGCCGAGGAGATGGGCGAGGCGCTCCTGCCCGAGGACGACGACGTCCGGCGGGAGCGCGACCGCCAGCTGCTCGACAGCCGGCCCCAGGTCATCGACGCGCTGCTCAGCGGCGAGGGCGCGGAGATCGAGGCGGCCTTCGAGGTGCTCGCGGGCCCCCTGATCCTCTACATCCGCCACTACTCGAACGCGCTGCAGATGGTGCCCAAATTGCTGCTCATCATGATCGGCCTGCCGATCATTTTGGAGCAGGACCTCAAGCTCGGGAGCACGTGCAAGGACGTGCTCATGATCGGCGGGCGGCCCTTCCTGCCCATGTCCGCGTGGCTCCTGACGCAGATCATCACGGACATCGCCATCGTCATCACGCGCGCGCGCCGCTTCTACCTCATGCGGCCCGTCGTCAGGGCAGCAAAAGGGTGATTCAACGTCGCTTCAACGTGAGTGTTCCGCGCGCGCGCGTTTCCAAAACAGCACCCACGCTTCGAGAGCGCTCCGACAGATGATCGCTCGTCCAAAAATCAGCCGAAACGAGCGGAAAACGACCGAGATAGGAGCCTTTGAAGTTGGGAATTTCGCACCCTTTTGCTGCCCAGGCCCGTCGTCCTCGCGTTCGACCGCGGCGAGGGCGTCGAGGCGACGCGGCTCCGGAACCGGAAGCGGTCCGAGCTCTTCACGTCCTTCCTCAAGCACAACATCATGAAGATCGGCCGCAAGTCGAAGATCTCCGCGGGCGCGCGGCGGGGGCGGCGGAACAACACGTTCGAGGAGGACCTCAAGGGGTCGCGGACGTCGCGGCGGCCCGGCGAGCTGACGATGAACGAGAAGAACATCCGGGGCCTCGAGGACATGCTCGACGCGAACCTGAGCGACGACGGCGAACCGCCGGAGCGGCCGCGCGCGCCGTCGACGCGCGCGCGGTCCGCGTCCGTCGAGTCCTTGGAGTCGGAGCTCGACGACGACGACGCGGCGCCGCCGCACGCCCTCGACGCGATCATACCGATCGAGGAGGCGTCGGAGCGCGGCGAGCGGGCTTTGCTGGCCCTGGCGCGCGTCGAGAACTCGGGCACGCGCGTGCCGCTGGCGCTGCTGACGATCCTCTCGTTCACGCTCGGCCTCGCGGGCGGCGTCTACCTCCTGCTCCCCTTCGGGCGCGACTCCTGCCAGCCGCTGGCGCTCGTGCTCGCCAACTCCTACATCGCCTTCTTCTACATCTTCTTCGTGCCCAACCTGCTGATCTGCATCGTCGCAATCATCGAGCTCACGTCGATCAACCCCGAGGACCACCGGCTCCAGGACATCCTGGAGCGGACCATGGCGCGCCTCGACGACATCTTCTTCCTCGGCCAGGTGCCCCTGTGCACCTTCTTCGCGAAGCGGTTATTACTAAAATCGACGGCGCCGCCGCTCGACGGCGCGCGGCTCAAGGCGCTCCTCCGCCGCGACGCGTACATCCTCAAGCACCGCCGCGAGACGCTCAAGACGGCTTTGGACGACTGCGACGAGCAGATCGCCGCCGTCGACTCCATCCGCAAGCGGGCGCGCCTCGCCTACAAGAAGAAGGACACCATCGACCCCTTCGCGGAGACGCCGGGTTTGCGGGTTCGCCGCTACTCGCGCTTCGTGCCCGAGGTGTCCTGGCACCAGTCCTTCGTGCCCGTCTACCGCGAGGTCGACCCGGCGACGCCCCTCGATGGCTACGACCCAAACTTCCCGCGCACGGCCGTGAGCCCCATCAAGCTCTTCGGCAACACGTTCCGCCTCCAGTCGCCGCGGCGCGCGTCCGACGCCGCCGAGGGCCGCCGCGACTCCGACGCGAGCGAGTTCGAGTTCTACGACGCGCTGTAGTGGTAACACGTGCGCATTCCGGGGGGGTCCCGCGCTAGTCGAGGTCCGGGCCCGCGCCCTCGGGCGCCTCGTAGGCGGGGGGGGTCGCGCCGCCCTCGTCCTCGGGCTCGTCCTCCGGCTCATCGTCGGGCCGCGCGGCCTCGGCCGGAGGCGGCGCCGCGGCCTGCTCCGCGGCGTCCAGCAGGCTTTGGAGCGTGTCGAGCCACTGGAACTTGGTCTGATTGTCGCCCGCTAACGCCGCGGCCTGCGCGTTGCGGCCCGCGTCGAGCGCGAGGGCCAGCGCTTTGGCCTGCGCCGCCGCGATCGCGCGCACGGTCTCGGCCGTGTCGACGTGGAGCTCGGCGAGAGCGTCGCCCGCGTCCTCGGCGGCGGCCGCGCCGGGGTCCGCGAGGGGCCAGGCGTCGATGGCGCCGTCGAGGGACACCGCCGGCGGCGCCGCCGCCGCGGACGGGCGCCGCGCGGCGGCCGTCGCGGACTTGGCGGCGCCGAGCGCGCCGGCGATGACCAAATTCTCCGCGCGGACGCGCTCGAGGAAGCCGCGCTTCTCGGCCAGGAGGCCCTGCTTGTCGGCCTTGAGCTCGGCGACGGCGTCCTCCGCCGCCATCAACCGCGCCGCGAGCGCCGCCAGCGACGCCTGGCGGTCGTCGACCTGGCCGCGCGGCGACGCCGGCGGCGACACGGGGAGGTCGTCGGGGCCGCGCGCGAGGCCGTCGGCGTGCGGCTTCGGGGCCGCGCGCTTCTGCGGGCCCCCGCGGCGCGCCTTGTAGGACTCCATGAGGCCCGCGAGGAACTCCGCGTCGTACTCGTCGTCCTCGAGGTCCTTGCCCGGCACCATGCTCAGGCGCGCGCTCCGCGTCGCCGACCAGCCGCCGTGGTGCTCGACGTGCGGCGCCGCGGCCGCGTGGACGGACTCGTGGCCGGGGGAAGTCACGCGAATCCCGCCCACGAACAGGCTCCGCCGCTCCGTCGCGTGCGGGTGGAGGCGCTCGCGATCCGCGGCCGAGAGCGCGCGCTGCCTCGGCGTCTTCTTCCCAGGCGTGTGATGGTTCGCGAAGGTCTTGCGCGACCTACCACATGTGTCGGTCACAATGTTTCATCGTGTCCCCGCCCGAAATCTCTCGAACATAGTCGCAGGACGCCGTCCGCGACTGCATCAGGTTCGGCGAGAAGGTGCATTCCTCCAGTTCGCGCGCGGCCGCGTCGGCGCGCTGCGACTCCACCTTTCCCTTCGTCGCGGTGCTGCGACTGGCCACCCAGCGCTTCTGCGAGGACCGCGTGCGCGTCTTCCGCGTCGGCGACGGCGACTTGCGGTCTGATTCGCCCCACCAGGCGCCGCCGCCGCCGTTCCCCCAGGCCGCCTGCGCGACGGCCCGGGGATCCGCGATCACAGGCTCGCCGACGGCCGGCTCCGCCGGCTCCTGGACTCGCACGGTCGGTGTCTTCTGCGCCCAGAAGGCCGCGTCGTCGCCGGCCATGGTTCGCGCGTCGCTTCGTCAAAGAGGCGGCGCGTGTGATGGCGCGGGTGGGATGAGCGTCGCGGTCTTCGTCCGAGGCCGACTCGACGAGCAGCAACAACAACAGTGGTGGCTCGCGCGGCTGCCCGATTGCGCCAGCGGCGGCGGCGCGACGTTAAGCCTTCAATGGTGCCGCACGATCAACTCTTTGGGGCTGCCCGCGCGCGAGAATTCAGGGCATGGGAAAGCCGAGGCAGCCGGCACTCGCCATCTCGGATGAGTAGCCATCTCGGATGAGTAGCATGGCAGGCCCGGCGCGCAACCTCGACTTCGGCGACACGCCGACGCGCGACGCCCCGGCCGGACACGCCGCGCTCGACGCGACGAACGCGGAGCACAACTCGCCGCTCCACCTGCTCGCGCGGTCCGGCAACGTCGAGGGCGTGGGCCTGCTGCTGCAGCACGGCGCGGACCCGAACCTGCGCGGCGCCGGCGGCTGTTCGCCGCTCCACGCCGTCTGCGACGCGCCCCTCGACGGCGCGGACGAGCAGCACGCGCGCTGCGTCGCCGCGCTCCTGGCCGCGGGCGCGGACGGCGACGTGAGGGACGACGCTGGCCGCTCGCCGCTCCTCGCGGCCGTCGAGCGCGGGCGCCTCGCCTGCGTCGCGTGCCTCGTCGAGCGCGGCGCGGACTTTGGCGGCGACGCCGACGGCAGGACGCCTCTCCACGCGGCCGCGGCCGCGAGCCCCGAGGCGCTCGCGCTGCTCCTCGCGGCGCCGGGCGACCGGAGGCCCGGCGGCGCCCTGCCCGCATCCCCCAGTACGCCCGGCGGCACGTCCGCCGCCGTCGCCATCTACGAGAAGATCCGACGACGCGGCGTCGAGGGCATCCGGAAGGCGGACGAGCCGCGGTCGCCGACGAAGGCGGCGCTCACGCCGCCGCGCGGCATCACGATCCCGGACCCGCCGACGCTCTCGCCGTCCGACGACGGCGACGACGGCGCCGCCTACGAGCCCTACGGCGCGACGTCGGACCGGTGGCCCGTCGACGAGCGCGGGGAGGCGGTCTACGTCGCGCCTCCCGCGGACGCGTGGGTCGAGTGCTGGACGGACGCCGGCGAGCGCTACTACTACTGCCCGGCGACGCAGGCCTCGGAGTGGGAGCTCCCCGCCGGCGCGGCGCTCGACGCGACGTCGCCCATGGCGCCCATCCCCGAGGCCGCCGAGGCCGCGCCCGCGGCCGCGCCCGCCGTCGCGGCCGGGGACCTCCACGCGGCGGCCGCGCGCCTCGACCGCGCGCGGCTCCTCGAGGTGCTCGCGGGGGGCGTCGCCCCCGGGTCCGTCGTCGACGCCGTCGCGGCGGCGACGCCCCTCCACGCGGCCGCGCGCGCGGCCGGCGCCGCGGGCGCCGACGCGAAGACCGTCGCGGCCGTCGTCGGCGCGCTCTGCGACTTCGGCGCGGACGTCGACGCGCGCGACTCGCGGGGCAACACGCCCCTGCACGCCGCGGCCTCGGCCGGCGCGGCCCACGCCGTCGGCGCGCTGCTGCGCTGCGGCGCGGACGCGGCCGCCGCGAACACGAACGGCGACACGCCGCTGCACCTCGCGGTCTGGCACCGCCGCGAGGCCTGCTGCCGGCGTTTGGTCGACTACGGCGCGCCGCTGGCGGCGCTGAACAAGCGCGGGCGGAGCCCGCGGGCCCACGCGCGCGCGCGCGTCCACCGCGACGCCGCGGGCAAGTCGAGCCCGCGCAACTCCGCGGCCGCGCGCGACGCGGACGCGGCGGCCCTCGGCGAGATCAGCGACCTCCTCGAGGCCGCGGCGCCGCGCCGCGAGTCCCTCGGGTCGCCGCCGCCGCGGCCGTCGCCGGCGACGCG